GGCAGGTGAAGCACCCTTCCCTTGCTGCCTGTACCCCTCCTAGGAGCACAGAACAGTCCTCCCGCGTAGTGTGTTCTGCTGCAGCTGAGACCCCTTTAGTTTCCATCACCCCCTTTTCCCACCTCTCCTATAGAGGGATTCAGCAAGTTTAACATCAAAGGAAACCTGTCGTTTTCAGCGTAGCTGATGACATTTCCTCTAGTGAAACTCCGCTTGGCATATGTATTGTGGGTGTGTGAGAACAGTCTGTGCCCTGACCTCGGGCTGTTCTCTCCTTGCATTCCCAGGAGGGACCATCCCGCTGGGGCAGTAGCCTTGAGCCTGCTCCTCATCCGTGGGCTGCAGCGTTTGCACACAGCTTAGGAAGGCGCTTCCTGGCAGAGCTTAGGGTGTCTTTCTGCCACAGACAGCTAGGGAAACTCTTTGGCATGGCATGGCGTTCCTCCTGCGTGTGGTTTTCCCTCCTCTCTGTTCACATCTGCGTGCGCTGCGCTGTGGGGACAGTACTCAGCCTGGCTGCGCCCCTGTGCTCTCTCCCAAGGCTGAAGGGCTGCTTCTCCCCGCAGGCTTCACGGGCGCAGTGAGGAAAGCGACCAGCAAGAATCCCTGCACAAACTCCTGACTTCCGGAGGACTGAGCGAGGATTTCAGCACCCCTTATCCTCCCCTCAGAGCTAACGTTATTGAAGCTATTAATGAGCTGCTAATAGAGCTAGGTATGGTACGGATGGGTCTGAACTACCCCATGAGGGAGCTTCTTATGGATGGTACTGATGCTTCCCCCTGCTCTTAGGGGGAAAGAAAACAGCAAGGATCTGGGAGCCTTGATCTGAAGGAATTAAAGAACTGAAGTCCTGCTGCTCCCAGGACTTAGTTTAAGTCCTCTTTGGCTTACAGGGAGATGGGTGGAACACTGCAGAGGGAACAGTATGGGTGGATATTGGCCTGTGCTCTTGGTCTTCTGGGAAGTCTTGAGTTGAGTCCTCTGAAGAAGAGTATCAAAAATATGCCAAGGTTGGACTAAATCCCTATGCACATATAACCTGACCCTTGTGCATAAAGCACTGTCATACATTTTTCTTTCTCTGCAGTCTTGTGACAGATTGGGCACCCGGCTCTCCTTCTGGGACCCAGGTTGTCCTGCCTCTGCTTTCCATGTGGTTCTAGTGCTACTGAACTGTAAAACCATTGAATTTCTGTCACTAGTTGTTGGGTGGGCACAGTGGTTGTCTGGAATAGTGCCGATGCAATCCACTCCCCTCATGATGGAGTTTTCAATATAGCTATTTCTATGAGTAGCTAGGGAGCACTGGGCATTCAAAGGCCAGTTTCTTGGTCCCTCTCCACTGCTAAAAAGAACGGGGAGAAACACTGCTCCTGCTCTACCAGTGCTCATAGCATTGCTTTAGCAAAAAACGATCTTGTTGGAGGGCAGCCCTAGCAGCACAGGTGTCGCTTTTCCTGGCTGCTTTTCCACCTACGGCTTCCTTCTGTTACAGAGGGCACCACTGATAACATTGCTATGCAGGCGCTGGAGCACATCCACTCCAATGAGGTGATCATGACAATCGGCTACTCGCGCACTGTTGAGGCCTTCCTGAAGGAAGCTGCCCGCAAGCGGAAGTTCCAGGTCATCGTGGCGGAGTGTGCGCCATTCTGCCAGGTGAGGCCTGGGCTGGCCGTCCTCTCCAGGTGCCACGTTGTCCCGTGCGTTCTTACTTGTCTCTGGAGGCAAGCTGAATGTTACGGAAGTTCCTCTGCAGATGAGACATTGAAGACAGCTCGTTATCGTACCCCGTGTCCTTCAGTCAGGGGGCTGTATTTGTGCTCCACTGCTTGGTATTTTTGCAGTGCAGACAAGAATTGAGTGCTAATATCTCTACAACTGCACTGCAGGAGCTATGTCCCAGAGGACCAATTGGATTCTCCCTCTTTTTAGGGTCACGAAATGGCTGTCCGACTATCTAAAGAGAACATTGAAACTACTGTCATGAGTGATGCAGCTATTTTTGCTGTCATGTCTCGAGTCAACAAGGTAAGGAGGGCTCTACTGGAGGAGGGAGTCCACGGCAGGTTGGGTGCTTAGGCCTCCCAAACCAGCTGCAGGTCCCAGCAGTGATGGATGCGTTTCTTCACTGAAGACTCAAAATTGTAACAATACGTATTTACAGCTGGGGTGGAGATTCAGTGTGGAACCCCAAATCAGAATGATGACTAACTGCACGGTGATAGGTTTTTCTGCCTTAGTGGCTAACAGGCAGAACTGTTACAAGAAACCAAGCCAGGAGACCTCAAAGGATTAAACTCAGTTTTTAAAGAAGATGGAACAAAAAGCATTTCCAAAGGGAAGAAACTCCCCTTGCCTGGAACACAAGATGGGTGGTGAAGGGAATCACCAAGGTGTGTCGGGGTGGTAAAGGGAATCACCAAGGTGTGTCGTCTTCACCAAGATGAAGACTTGGCACCCCAAACTTAAAAAAAAAAAAAAAAAAGTAACATAATAAAATAAATCCACACCACTTACTTATATATTTTAAGCTGCTTTATGTTATTCCCATTTTACAGCAAGAGAATTGTTGCAGCCAGCAGTCAAGTTACTTGTACCAAGCTTACTTTGCAGGCTTCTAGAACAATAGGGAACACACCCCAGTTTCTGCTCGGTGTTCCCTGTGGTAGAACATACATTTGTCCTCTGTGCTGGTAAAATCAATCCACACCACTTACTTATATATTTTAAGCTGCTTTATGTTATTCCCATTTTACAGCAAGAGAATTGTTGCAGCCAGCAGTCAAGTTACTTGTACCAAGCTTACTTTGCAGGCTTCTAGAACAATAGGGAACACACCCCAGTTTCTGCTCGGTGTTCCCTGTGGTAGAACATACATTTGTCCTCTGTGCTGGCCTCACCATGCTGGAGTCGTGCTCTTGTTAGAGAGGAACGTCTCGGTGCAGAGCCAGTGCCAGATGAAACAGATCAGGCATCCAGCTGCCCTTATAACTCCAGCCTTTGGCTGGCTGGCTGTTCTGACAAACTCCTCCTCCAGCTCATCCGGCAGCGTCTGAGCCAGGAAGCATTCCTTCCCCAGTTTGCCATGGAACATGCTATCTAATGCTGATTTGCCTTTTAAGGTCATCATTGGTACAAAGACAATCCTGGCCAACGGCGCCCTGATTGCTGTGAGTGGGACTCACACTCTGGCACTGGCAGCTAAACACCACTCCACTCCGCTCATCGTGTGTGCCCCCATGTTCAAGCTTTCACCACAGGTACGTACAGCAGCTCTTCAGGACTGCACCTGCTCTACATAGAGATGGGGGTGATTTTATGCTTGTGGGAGCTTAGGGTGGAGAGCGCCATCTGTCCCAAGGCGAGGTTGGTAAATGAGCCATCTCCCCCATCTAGTGCTGTTACTTCAGGTAGGAGACCCTCACCCAAATCTGGCACACCTCAGGATCTCCTTGAAGCACCCTCCTCTGCCATATGTGCTGAGTAAGCAGTGTATTGGGCATAAGGATGTAGATCACTGCCTACTAGAGACTGACATCACCATACTTACTTCTCTTCAACCACAGCAGATTTCAATTTGTATCTTTAGTGTTGAAAGACCCTCTGTCCTGACAGAGGAAGTAGATGGAGATGGAACAGTTTAGAGCTCCTTACACTCAGTACTTTTTCAGTATTGTCAGATGAAGTTGCAGACTGAGGAAGTTGCTCCTCTGCTCCAGTTCCCTAGGCTTTGCAGAAGGGCAGCCAGGTCACAGAAGGCTCTAAAGCTCTGAGGAAAAACCTTTCACCTGTAGATGTTGCAGAGGTTCTAGGCACAGGCACTATGTAATTATTGTAAACAGATGTAGTATCACCTGGCAAGTCATCTTCCTCGCTTTAGTTCCTTCCAGCACCCAGGATCTGTTTTCACTAGGATAACGAGGCAGTCTCTTCTTTTCCTGACCTTCCTGTACTCTTTCTCATTCAGTTCCCTAATGAAGAAGATTCATTCCACAAGTTCGTGTCACCACAGGAAGTGCTGCCATTCACAGAAGGTACTGGTTCTTCTTCATACAGGCTGGTCAAGCTGGTTCAGGCTATAATTTTAAAAATTTTTTTAATAACTCACACAAAATTTAAACATGAGATTGTCCTGTAACCCAAGACAGAAAATCCTTTCCTGTTCTCTTAAGCAGAAAAAAGTGCTGGGAACCATCCTATTTTATACATAACGGTCTACTACAGGAAGTACAGAAAAAGGATTTCCTTTGAACACCATCTTTGCACTTTTGCTTCTGCTCTGAAATAGTCAGTGTTTTATTATAGGATTGTGATAATGGTGCCAGGCAGGTGGCAGTTTTCTGTGGGACAGAGCACATGCCCCACACCGAGGGCAGCTTCCTTTCCTTCCTACAACTCATGTTAACTTCCTGAAACTTTGTTATGTGATCCACTTGTTGAAACCCAGTATCTCTGCAATGGAGATATGCACAATCCCACACAAGCAGCATCTTTAGAAAGGCATCAGCTCCCAAGCCCATTTTCAGATAGCAAAGTCTCTTTCAAAGCCCTGTTTCTATGTGACAAAGACTTTTGAAATGAAGATAGCAGGTTTGACACAGGTTTTTGGTTTAGGCTTTCTGAGCTTTTCTTTAAATAATAACTTTGGCAGCATCAGGATTCTTGTATTCCAGTTACATTCTGGCAGGGTTTTTGGCAATTAGTAAATCGACATCAGAGGGGGTCTGGGGTTTTTAATCAGTAAAAACTACCAAAAGAGAGTGCTGCCATTCATCCAGGATTGCTCTAGGCCTGTAATTCAATGATGTCAGTGAGGAAGTTGAAAAGTATTCAGGATATTCCAGTGCTGACTTCAGGGTGGCATGTGCATAGCCAGTTTCTTAGGGGCTCGGGAAGATGTGCAGAAGTCTACATGTACCTTGAGTTCCTTTGTCTAATATTGCTGCTCTTCACTTTACAGGGGAGATCCTGGCAAAGATCAACGTTCACTGCCCAGTGTTTGACTACGTGCCTCCAGAGCTCATTACTCTCTTCATTTCTAACATTGGGGGTAATGCACCTTCCTACATCTACCGCCTCATGAGTGAGCTCTACCATCCAGATGACTATGAACTGTAATGCCATGAAGCACGTCACTCTCCATACTCTTCCCATCTTTTTCTTTAGAAAGATACAACAGCTAATTAAAGTGTATGTTGCAAAGACGGGTTGCTGCGGGGAATCAGTGGGAAATTTGCTCAGCAATGTCTTTGCTACCCAAAAGCAACAGAAGGCAGAGCTCTTGTACAGGTATTGATCTCTCTACTGTGTTAGAAGCCACGTGTTGCTGTTAACTGATTTTGAAACAGCAAGGCATACGTGACAGAAGGCTCTCTCAACAAGAGCTCTCTCTTGTACAGGTATTGATCTCTCTACTGTGTTAGAAGCCACGTGTTGCTGTTAACCCACTTTGATTTTGAAACAGCAAGGCATACGTGTAACTCTGGGGCAGCTAAGCTGTTACTTCAAAGTATACTGCAATAAAGGCTGTTTACAGTGATCTCACAGTTAAGCAAGTTTTCCACATACAGTTACTTTGTTTCTCTAAGTAGCAGGAGTTTTACCAGTGTAGTGAGTTGCCTGCGCCTATGAGGAAAGGCAACTTAAAGCAGGCTTTAGGGTGGGCTTTCACATATGAACGTGATAGGAATCCATTGGCAACTGTCTTTCAAATGGATTTTTTTGGCAGAATTTTCTGACAAGTTTTGATGAGTTGCTGAAATATAAAGCAGCTTTTTGTACAATGCTGGAACGGAAATTCCATTCTTGATGAAAGGCAGACCTTTAGAAGTCCCGTCAGTTAGCTGCTTCACCCCTGTGTCAGAAGGCAGAGCTCAAGCTCTTGCTTCGCTTATTGTAGTCTGAGGGTCTTTCCTCTCCTGTACTGAGTGACTGTGATTATTCTTCTTGGGTGGACATCTTGTCTCATTCAGAAAGTTCTTGATTTTTGTGAGGGGCAGCATGGAAGGTCTTAGAAGTCTCAGGCTCTTGCAGGTCAGTCAGATCACTTTTCCTTAGTCAGTGTATGGCAATACACTACACCACAGTTAAGGCATCAAATGAAAGTAGTTTCCACTCCTTATTTTACTTTTGATTCGGCAGATGTCAATATCTCTCTGATTTGGTTTTAAGTTGGATGTCTGTGATTAAACAAAGATATCATCTTCTTCTCCATCCTGAAATAAACTCTACTCCTCTACCTTAGGCCAAGACACAAAATAGAACTGGAACCTGTAAAAAAAAAGTCTGCCTATTGTAAAAAATGCTGTGGGCTATTTAGTTATTTCTGTGGAGGTGAGTTTCTGCACCCTGAGAACATGGGGCTATGCTAGGATTTAGAAATCTCTCACTCAAGAATGCAAACTGCAGGGAGCTGGAGAAAACAGCTGGGTGTGTCATTCATTGCCTAGTTAAATAAAAAGAATGTTTTTTGATCCTAAGTTGGCCTATACATACTATAAAGCTGGTCGATCCTCATTCCAACCACTGCCATGAGCCCAAGGAAAGAGTTCAGTGTTAATTTTATTAATAAATACCTCCCCATTTTCAAAGCACTACAAAATACATTAATTAAAAGACTCCTCTCTATTATGCAAAATCATGGTGTGCTTGCAGAGAAAAAGCACTTTAGTAATGGTGAGTGGCTGCAACTTCTTGCCTCCGATAGTCAAGCACTAACATAAGGCCCAGGCTTACAATGTAATTCCTTAATGCTGAAGATGCTTCTCCAGGCTACAAGGGTGGGCTCCTCCTGCCGTGCTCTCCTGGCTGGTCTCTGCCTCTTAGGTCAGTAGTCAGAGCAGAACTTCAGTGACCACACTGGCTCAGAAACTTGGCTCCACACAGGGTATTGTTGTCTAACAACAGGGGGACCTGGATCATACCAACACTTCTAGTGATTGCAGCTTACAGCCTGAACTTTTTTTAATTAGGGTCTTTTTTTCCCAAATAGGTGCCGTGCTCGCACCATCTTCCGCAGTCTAGACAAATTAGGTTTAGGCTGGAGGGAGAAAAATGAAGAAACACTGAATCATAACTAAGTAAACGAGCTTCAATGCTTCCATACTCTTTGCCCTAGTACAGTCATTCCCAAGATTTTTTAATATCTAATTCAAAGTTCCACCTGACTTTCAACAGAATCCAATTTCATAACTTAATATAGCACAGTAACAGCAAAAGGGAAGGAGTAATGATTTCATTTTTTTAATTTAAATGTTGCTATTTCTTTGCTTTTTTTCCCCCATTTTATAGCATCTTAAACTTTGAGGAAGTAGGCATTTGTTTAATTAGCATCTTTGCCACTAGTAGAGTATCAGAATTTACATGTTTTCCAAGTTCTACACTTAAAAACTGCAAACACTTTAAGTATATGCTTAACTTTAAGGACTAGTAGACCCCATTGAAGTCAATGTGACCATTCAAATGAAATATGGTAAGATCCTTTGCTAAAGTGTTTGCAGGACCAAGGTTTAGTGTTCTAAAGTTTTGTTTTATTGGTAACAGCTATGTAAAAATTCAACTAAGATACAGCCAGTAGTGATGGTTTCAAACTGGCCCATTCTAGTTCTAACACACACGTGCATGACATGCCTCTGATAATCCAGAGTGTGGACTATCAGAGGCATATCTGTCTCACACAGTACCTGCTTTTCCTCCTGCAGATGGTCTATGTCTGCAAGAGGCATCATGGAAGGTCTTCCATGAGCACACTGAAAGGGCAGCTGGCAAGATGACAAAGCTTCAATAAGCCTGCAGCTCTCCTCCAAAGTCAAATGCTCATTAAACTTAATAGCTCCTGAAAAAAAGATACAAATTTTTGCATGCACTGCCAAAGAGAATTCAAACCACCCAGCACGCTTCCCTCCACAGCTGTGGTTTTCACAGAAAACAAGGCAGCTCCCAAAGATTAGCTGGGAGGCTGCAAAGACAGCCCAAGGGCTGCAGTATGGCAGACTTAGGGCTTAGCTCAATTAACCAGCCTGCTGCATAAAGATCAGCTTTCCGTGGCCTAAACTTTCACCTAACCCGAGTCTGATGGATGTTAAGATTATTAGGTTTTGGCTTTTCAGATGGTGTTGCAAGAGGCAAATGGGCTTTTTTTTGCGTGTGTGTGTGTTACAGCTAAAGACGCAACCAGTTCACAAATCAAAAAGTATTAAACCAAGATGACAGCTAATATCAGTTCCATAGGCTTTATCAGTTCTATGTGCCTCCCACTGACAGGCATCAGTTCCAAGACCAAATGCTAGCCTTGCCACTAAGTCCTTTCTCACAAGTGAGCACTTAATGATCCAGAGGAAATCCAAGCAGAACATTAAGGAGTCACTTCAGAAGTGTTTGCAATCTTTAGCCTTCACAGATGCACAAGACCATCTGCAATCTGCCTTTCAGCCATGGGACTTTTTTAGATAGAAAAAAAATTACATACTCTCTGCCATTTGTAGAATGCAGTGACACCCTGTGAAAATAGATGCTTTTGGTTCACATTTACCCCTTCAGCATTATCTTGTTAATACTGTATATGGCACAGAAACTGCCACAAGAGGCTAGAGCTACTGCAGTCTACACCTGTAAGGTCTGCTCATTTCCAGGTGCTGGAAAGCCATAGTCCCTTAGAAGATGTAAATTCTTACTGCACTCCTTCCAAAAATACTTGAAAAGTCACAGGCACACTTAAACCAGCACTTTTGATACTTATATGAAATAAAAAATGCTTTTTGAGAAGAGTATCTAAGTTGTCTTTCCTGCTTGCTTTCAAGCAGATTCCAGCACCTCCCCTTGCCCCTTCGCAGAGCTAAAATGAATGGTTTAGAGCTCACATGGATAAGTGTATCTCAGAACTGTATTCCATCTGTGTTTCATGTGAAGGTTGGAAAGTACGTTAGGCCCATACATGAATAAATCAGAGCAGTATTGCTTGTCCCTCACAGTACTGTCCATGAAAAGACCATTATTTCCTCATCCCAATGAAACACACAGTCTGTAATCCTGGAATTCCTGCAAACACATTCTGAAACCACTGCCCCAGGGAGTATGTTGTGTAGAGACAGAAAGGTTTAAAAAAAAAAAATAAAAAGAAGGAATGAAAGAAAAGTACAGTTTCCCTACCATGACAGGCCTGGGAAGCTAACACTTTCAGAAACGTCAGAGGCAGTGTCCCTCGTGCTCCTCCTCCTGTGGTCTGCACTAGCTAAAAGTAGTAAGGGAACATCATCTTACTTTCCATTTAACATGAGAAAAAGGAAGAATTGTAACACAAAGGAAACTAAAAATGAGGAAAAGTTAGTGGATTATCTAGTCCACCTCTCTCATTTGAGGCTTAACACACTTACTCCCTTTGGTTCATGCAGTAAGCCTTGCATTATTATAGTCAACTTCAGAAGCAGACAGAAACTCACCTCAACTTGTTCTTGCATAAGCTCCTGGAAAGAAAAAGGCAGTATCATCAGTTGCTATTTCTCCCTTTCATTGCCCATACCCTGCTTTGGCCACATCTGTATATAATTTACTGTGTAACTGCTAGAACCAGGAAACATGATGCTGTTGCTAGTAGACTGACCACAGTAGTGAAAGATGTAGGTGCAAGTCCTGACCTCTCACAAGTATCTTATCAGACTTTAGACTAATCACTTGGTTTCTCTCTGCATCAGTTTCCTATCTGTACAATGGGTATAATGGAACTTTTATACCTCAGAGTGCAATGAATGCATGTTATCTTTGAATAGCTGCCCTTTCTTCTTTGGATAATAGTCCACATGAATTTCATTTCTGATGTCTAAAATGCAATGAATTCATAATCAATCATGAATAGGTGCTACCAGTCCTAATTAAAAGGACTGCAGAACAGATCTGCCAAAATGCTCATGAGATCTTGAGGTATCAGCTAAGAATGAGTGCTCGTGAGGCACAGACCTGATCCCCTCCCCTGCCGCTTTTAGTGCTCTTGGCTCCCAAATCACACCAGGAGAGTGCATTTTGAGTTCTTCCTGATTATAGCGAGGTTGGAAAAGAAAATTTAATTGGATGAATCATCTCCTCTGTTTCTTCTTTTCATATCAAAAGAAATGTACGGCAAGACTGGACTGATTCACAATGGCTCAGCCTAGTGGCTGAATATGGTACTCCAGAAACAATTTTTAAGGAGTCCTTGAAGCAGTTACGATCGTGGAGAATTGTTTACAATGGAAACTGCAAGTAATCAGTTCAGCAATTTCTTCCTCAAACTGCAGAACATCTGGAACAGCAGCTTTTAGAAAGCTGCACTGCCCGTGTAGAGATTTCATGGAAACAACTTTAAATCCTTACAA